ATATATACATACAGACATACATACCTACATACATACATACATACATACATGTACACATACATACATACAGACATGCATACATACACAGGTTCATACACTCACACCCATTCAAACACACGCACACACACACACATGTACTTACACTCATGATACAAATTACATCCATACACACATACATATCTAACTGACCACCTACCTACCTACCTACCTTCCTACCTTCCTTCCTTCCTACCTTCCTACCTTCCTACCTTCCTCCCTGCCTGCTTGCCTACCTACATACATACATGCAGACTACATGCACGCATGTAACGCATGAAATGAAACTTGCATGCAGCATCCACCCATCCATCGATCCACGCATCCACCCATTCCTGCATAGCAAATGAATATGCTTGGAATTGCAGCTTTATGCTGCGCTAGCGATACACAAAGCCAGTGGCCACGAGGCCTCCAATCGTTGCAAGAGCCTTGATTCGGGTTTCGGGTACAGGGTTTTGAGAGGGATCAGGCCCTCCCGATCCTGAGCCCTTCACTCCGAACCTTGAACGGTGGGTCGCAAGTCACCAGAGTTCCAGACACACCCACCTCTGTCGATTGATGCAGGAGTCGGCTGGTCTGCTGTGGCAGCGCAGCAGCACAGGTCAAGGCCTTCGAGCATGGTTCATGTGATACGGAAAGATGGGGAGAAGGGATAGGATACGGATTTCATCGTAGAAGATTGGTAGGAAACTGGACACATCGGTGGCATCTGTAAAGGCTGGCATGTTCTGAAACACATGTCTGGCTCAATGGCCGATTTTGTATGGGATCTGGCGCATTCGTGCAGGAATAACTGTGATATGGGTAGTTGTCAAAATTAGGGTCCCTTTTGGGGTACCCTAAATAATAGGTGCCGTATTATAATAAGGACCCAAAAAGGGACCATAATTTTGATAACCACCCATATGGCTCCATCCGCAGGCCCTCGTAAGTGCTCGACAGGCAACTAATCCAAAGCCATCTCAAACACAAAGCCAAAGGAGCGAAGAAGGTAATGTGCGCCTACCGACACACATCTATGGACGAACAAGCTAAGCAAACCTGCAAAGACATACAAACACCGTGACTAATAGCTGCTTGAAGCGGTTTGTATGCATGTGCATGGCATCATTCTGCGGCAAACACAGACAATATCTTTGGTGCCCGTCCAGACAAGTGATAAAGGCTTACTCAAGCCCAGTTGAGTCTCGTCAGGCGGGTGCCTGAGAGACTTCAGGCTGAATAGGATGCTGCGGCCTCGGTGACCTTTCCCTGCTGACTCGATCGACCCCCAGGCACAATCTTTCAGATAAGGCACAGCATCTGCAAGTGCGGGCAATAGCCTGAGAAAAGGCTGAAGTCGTGACTAACAGCTGCTGAGTTGGAAACCATCTCTCCAGTTAGCAATCTTGAGTTGGAGGACAAGCCGTCCGAAGGGCAGCTGCCAGAGCTTAAGGTGTACCCTTCAGACCGTCATCGTCGAACTTCTATGCTGGCAGACAGGGGGTCTTGCTCACGGCAGCAGCAAAACCGTCCATGTAACGATTGTCCTTATGGTCGTTGTACCTTCTGTGGAAACAGCGGTCACAATCTGCAAGTCTGCGCGTGCATGAGTGACAATTGGGTGACTTTGCTGGCAAAGCCAATCCGTACCATCCTAGCGTAGGTGGTCGGTGCATCCACTGCTTGCTCCTCCGTCACAAACCCTGCGAAGTTTCATCCCAAAAGGCTTATGACAAACGATTGCTATGGTACTATTCTCGTCGTCGCGGTTCCGACGTGATATTCGTGGTGCGGTTGGCTGCTGCCACCGCTGTTGTCGCTGTGTTGCTGCTGTTGCTGCTGCTGCTGTCGTCAGCTTCTTCCTTACACTTCTTCCTTAACAATTAGCCCGTATAGTGCTGTTGTTTTGTCTGTTGCTTTTCACGTTAACTTGGTAGATGGGTCGCTGGTCAGCGTGGCTGTGCCAGCATGAGCACTACCTCTGATATGTTGATCAGCGTTGCCCGATGTATGCATTCTGCCTTCCTGCGCTGGTATATGGCTCCATCCTGTATCGAATGTTCATGACCTTCCGTCTGCAGATGTTCGAGTAGCAGTAGCAGTAGCAGTAGCCGTAGCAGTAGCCGTAGCGGTAGCTGTAGCAGTAGCAGCCGGAGTAGTAGTAGCAGTAGTAGTAGCAGTTGCAGTAGCA